AGTAATTGTCAATTTATTTTAAAAAGATACAATCATGTCATATACTTACCATTATATTTTAATTTTATAATTGAATTAAATAGATGTCTTTTAAGATGATAAATTCTTTGGCAACGAAATTGCTACTCCAAGTTTTTCTTGTTACTATGGGTTATATTACTGCATACATTCAAAATTCTACCCAAAATTCAGGAAAGCTAGAATGATGACTTTCGCAGTATGCTGTTCCTATTTTAACTGTGCTTACAATGGATCACATGACCCTAGAATTATTATTCATAGAGGGCTTGCGATCTTGAACTTTTAAATAATATAAATATAGAGGAACTAGATCAAGAAAGTGCTGCAACTCATGCAACTTTGCTACTATTGATCTTTGAACTTAGGAATGACACAAGCACGGAGATTGCAAAACAAGCTTGTAATGTGCTTGATTTTATTTAGAAGGATTAAGTGATGAAATTTACCCGTAGCGATGGAGAGGCGTCTTATTTTAATGGATAATGGCGCAAATGAAATAAAGGACGCAACCATTGGAGGTGCTGCACATGCAGCTGGCGAAGTAATTCTTCATTTGCTATTACTGATTATAAATGGTAATATGATAGGAATTTATGGTTTATTATATTTGAAACATTGAATTTGAATATACTGTAATATAGTATTTTTTTCACGATAATCACGGGATCACACCCAATGTTTAAAATTTGGGATTCTCAGTGTTCTCTGAGAACACTTAACAATTTTTATGAACATAAATTATTGGAAATATTCAACATTTTTTAATATTTAAAAAATTTTAACTTCTGAGAATATTAAAAAATTTTTGAGAATATTTAAAATTCAGAAAATGTGAATTTTAATATTATGATCTGCAAAGATCACCCCTCTTTTGCAAACCGCAATATTAATTGAATATATGATTGATAATATCTAGAATCTCTGAAATTTCCGCTAACATCATCATGAAAATTACATTGGCGGAGCACTATAATTGTTTTTATATAGGAATAATTAAACAATTATAAAAAATGCAAATTTAATTAACTTAGCGTTGTTACTAACTAGTCTTAAGCCCAATATTTTTTTTATTAACCCTACCTAGAATCTATGGAGCTTTTGTTTAATTAGGCTTACCTTTAAGTTCTATATGTCCAAAATCATTTTGACTTATGGCAGTTTGCAAAAAAGTGTAACATTATGATTTTCATGATGATGATGGCGAAGAATCTTTGAAATTCTAAATAAAAAATCTAAATTAAGAATCAAAATAAAATCATATATAATTATATCCTTAATCATAGTTTTGATCAATATAAAGTTATATTACGTATATATTTATATAAAACTATTGTATTCTGCTTTTTTTTACATAATATATTTCTTCCCAAAAAATAACTGATTTTCAAGAAACAAAATTAAAATATTGTCGAGGAAGTTGTTTTAGTTGCCGAAAATGCATGTACTGTGGAATTGATTTGCAACAAGAAAAGTGTGACTACAACTTATCTAATATTCCACATAAAGATAATCGGACAGATGCTGTTAAATATGCATTTACACGAGTATTTGATCCAAACTGGATAAAGGAAAAAGTAGAATTTGTCTATCAAAAAATAGAATACTATAATTATTTATTAAATTCAAAAGAGGCCTTCAATTTTACTTTATGCTCTTGATGCAATAGCATTTTATTAAGATTATCTTCAAAAGCAAAAAAGCTTAAAGCAACATCAAATTCTACCTTTGCAAATAATGATAATTTTTCAGAATTAGAAACATGTGATCTTACTACCCTAGCAAGTGAGGTATCCGAATCTGAAGAAAAATATGATTGGAAACCTGATAAAAAAATATATAGAAGCGAATATGAAGATTATGATGATGATGAGCCTTTGTCTGATGAGGAAGTTGAATATGAATATACTTATGGTGTTTTTATCAAGTTGGAAAATGGAATGTCTCTTCCAGCAAAATGGTACACAGCTAAAGTATCTACAGTTGATGAGTTACTTTCGGAAATTCATATAAATATTGAAACTTTAATTGGAAAAAAAACAATTGATTCAAATAATTATCGTATCGCATTTAAATCTGAAAAGGCAGCTAGAACAGGTACTCAACTGGTTGATATTCAAGACTTCAAGAAATTTCAATCAGATTACCAAAAATATAGATCTAAAAATATCAATATAGCCTTTTTTATAACATTTATTAGCTCAAGTCTAAAGCGAAAAATAAATGTAAGTAGAAATTTTTATATTATGCTTATAATAAATGTTGTTATATAAAAATAATGTTTATCTTTATTTAGAAACTTGGATCTGATAATAATTCAGATGATGACATTATTATAGATTCGAAAAACAAAAGTTCTATTCCTAAAACTTCAAATCTATCTTTGATTGAATCATCGATTGCAAAAAATATTCTAGAAATTCAGACAAAAAATCATTGTATAATTCATAATTGACAATGTTTAAATAAAGATGGAGCCAAAGAAAACCATATTGAAATTACTTTTATGATGCTTTCAATTTGGGCATCTGAAATTGTAAGTAAATTTATTATAAATAAATTTTTAGAATATATATTATATATTCATAGAATTAATTTTTAAATATATAGAATAAAGCAATGGCATCACCAACAGAACCACCAATGCATTCTTTATTTGCATATAAACATTTAAGAAAGACAAATGTATCATCACAATCACAATCTAATTCTACACAGTTTAATCAAATTCAACCCTTTAGTTCTACTCAATTCAATCAAATTCAACCATCTAATTTGATACAACAATCCAATTCGATAGAACAACCTAATTTGATGCAACAACATAATTCAATATATCAATCTAATTCGATGCAACAATCTAATTTAATGCAACAACCTAATTCAGTACACTCTAATTCAATACTTTCTAATTTGATACAACATTCTGATCGAATGCAACAATTTAATCCAATACAACAATCTAATTTAATGCAGCAATCTAATTTAATGCAACAAGCTAACTTAATGCAATATTCTAATCCAATGCAACAACCTAATTTTATTCAACATTCACCTTTTTCAGGCCAGCATTATATGCTATCTATATTTTATAACCCGTTTTCAACATATATTCCTTTACAAACTTATGGAATGCCTTTTCAAATACCTATTCAATCCTCTTTACAACAAACATTACCTACCATTAAAAATTTCTTGAAACATGTAGATGAAAGTAAAGGTACTGAAGACTATTACCAGAAATTTTTATTAAAATTTGAGCAACAAAAAATTTCTGTATGATTACTTTCAAAATTGTCAGATGAAAACTTTGACAAATGTAGAGTAAATATTATTAGTGCATGTCAAATTCTTCGTGAATATGCTGCAAAATACAATATATAATTTTTACATTATTATGTGACAAATCATAAGTAAATATTTACTTATAACCTGCTATATTAAAAAATTACTAGAAATTGAGGGAGTAATTTGAGAACATGAAACTAATAATATGTATATTGGATCTGAACAGCTTTCTATTAAATACTGATATCATTTTAAATAACTTTTTATGTATGAAAAGGCTAATTCTATCAGATTAAGATCTGGGGAATAGGGAGAAAGAAATTCTATATATACACCAAATGCATTTAAATACTCAAGCAACCCATCATTGTGATGAATACTTGCATTATCAAGTATTAAAACACTTTGCTTATGTGGAAATGAATTCATTTAAGGCAACTAAAAATAAATAAAAAATTATCTTAAAAAATACTGTATACAAATATAATAATAATATAACTATATAGTGTTTCATCCCACTTGAGAAATTACAAATTCTTTAAATCGTTCTTTTGAACAACTACCTTCAATAATTTCAAGAGCAATAATACCATCTAAAGTAAATGCAGATAGAAGCGTATAACGCTTACCACGAAGAAATACTACTTTTTTAACAGCCCTTGTATTAAGTTCAGAATAACTATATCCTCGAGAGATAGTTCATCTTTAGATGATTCATCCAGAAAAATTAATTGACTACTTTTATATTGAGAACCAATGCGGGCTATAAAGGCACTACGAAGTAATTCATTACGTTCCTTGGCTACTTTATACAGCTAAAAATAAAAATTTAATAAAAATTATATTTATAAATTAAATTAATATAAAAATAAATACTTTTTTTCGTGTTA